TATATATAAAGACATACATACATCAAGTTCACACAGGTATACTCGTAAAACAAAAACCGAAAGTAACAAAGAGAAGAAAACGTCCAACCTCCGAGGGCGAAGAGCGAGACGTAGAGCGACATGAGCCATGACGTCAGGAGAGGGTCAGCGTGATAGTTGTCCAGCAGTGCCAGATTGAGCACACCCACGTGATAGTTGAGAGAGCCGTTGACCAGCAGGTTCACGAACGACATGGCCAGCACCAACCAACGCCGGGGGCCCGCCTCTCCCCGTGACGTCATCACGGACAAACTCTCCTGGGGGGAAAAACATGAGAATTGATATTATTAAGATAGATAAAATGCTACATATTTATTGTCCAGATCCTTGCTCACTTTGCAGTCACACAGTCAGCTGTACAAAATACCCCATCTGGTCACCCAGAGCGACTGCAACCGACTTCTCGGGCCTGGTCCAGAACTGCGCCAGGTGACTGGAACGGCGGGATAATTTTCACCGGCGCATTATTGCGCCAAGTGACCGCAAAGTGTCAACGTCCCCAATCTGTTCTATTAGGTTATTTAAGATTCGAGACCGTCGAGTTCAACCACTGTACCAGAAAGGACCGAGTCAAATACGAAATTCGTGTAAAGTGCGCCTTTCCCAAGGACACAACATCGGACCGGGCTGAGGCTCGAACCCCAGAACCCCGAACCCGCAGTCTCACGATTACGAGTCCGGTAGCCTAACCACTGACTACAGACGGAACCACTGACGTTTAGTTTACTTAGTTCTAGTAAAGTTATACGGCCCTCGCAACTGCATAAAGTCATATGAGCGCTAAGCGGTGAATGTCAACAGTGAAGTCGAAACGGGGAGTCAGGTTTACTCTGCTCACCTCTCTAGCCTGAACAGCACAAGTTCTGCTTCGACTATCAAGGTATTCGGGAAGTACCCATTAACAAGAGAGGGACAAACATACAAAAGAAGTAGAGGTAAAAATGACTATAGTACGGATAAAGAAAGAAAAAGCAGCAGTTCCCCCATGTTGTTCCGGCACAGTACGAGCATGACATTGATAAATCAGCCTCTTTACAATTCTACTGTTTATAACAACATGTTAATATCACCCCTTTGCCTAAAGACACTTAATTCAGTAGCACTGC